GGCGTGTGTTTGTTAAATTCAAATGACCTCAAGCGTGAACTTCATTTCGGATTGCTCCACAGAATCACACTTGCGACAATCTTAACACTATGGTGCGTTATTGTCATGTGTCGCACAAACAAGTATATATCCGCGATACAATGTTGATGTTAATTTACATGTTCGGGCGAAATAAGTGTGATTTTCGCGTAAAAGCGACAGAAAAGCATGATTCAAACAGTCGTCTTGACTGCTCAAAATCAGAAATATTCGTGGCTATTAGGCGCCGAGCAACTGGGTATGCCCGTGTCACACTCTCGTATCACGAAGATTTGTTTTTGGTTTTTATTTGTTGTTTGTATTTTCGTTGCATAACATCATTATTGCCTAGCCGACAAGACACATTATGGGAAACGTTGTACTGTGCGATGACTGCATTGCGAATTTCGTTTAAAACGCGTTAATACCAAATGAAACTTAAATTTATTATCTTTTAGACACGAACAGCATTCTGAACCCCACGATCCTTCGAGAACACATAAGAGATTTTTTATTATCAATACCAATAGATTGAAAAAGATTGTAGACCGTAAGCTTGCCAATGTTGTCTGTTTTGGTTGTACCCCACAACGAACAAATTTGTCAGCTCGCTTGGCTTAAATTGGTCATTAATAATACTTTTGAAACAACTGTTATTCTCCAGACATGAAATATATTTATTTACATTATGTTACGGGTTTGTCAGCTATAGTGTTGAAATTGAATAAGAATGCGATTATAAACCATTGTATCTGACACACCGCGGATGATATTTGTAGCGAATGTAATGATTCAGGTTACTGACCTAAAACTCATAGTCAAAACGCATTGTTGTTGTTGTTGTTGTTTAGCTTGTTTACATTCCTCCAAAATGTTACTTACAACAGGTATATAGTAATTATTATAAAAGTGAAATCATGCTATTATCACCACTCATGTTTTGTTTTTATTTCACAGAGATCTACTGAAAAACGATCAAGTAAGTAGCTTTGTCAGTCACTCAATCAATTAATTATTCAACCATCTTTGATTAATTTCTTTAACATGTTACCGATGTTAACTACATTGAATGCAGTCTCTGATGATATACTGTCCACCAACAGGATAGTATAACTTTCACTCAACAACCATCCTTAGTGCATGACTTGACGTTCCACAGTTTTTAATATTTCGATTTTTGTGTTTTGACCAAAAAAATACATCATCCGCCATCCACCAAGGAAGTTATGGGCAGTATATGTTCATGTCGCACTACATCTTTTATGATGGAATATTCTTGTTAATTATAAATATACAGCACATTGAATTTATAGATTTCACAGGACAGAAACGGGGTAAAAGCGACTGTTCTGACATGTGTAAGGCGATTGGGGTGTCCACATCTTTCAACATCTGGTCATAGGTCCCGATACTTATTTACATATACTCACAGCAGTATATATAAATAAGTAATTTCAGTACACTTTATTGTTGCTACAATAACTGATTATATTTTATATAATACAATGGGATATTTTGGTATGAATGCGATGCTTTACAGACCAGTTAGTGAATATCAATGTATATCAATGAGTAATCATAAATTATATTGATGCATGCTGTAATAAGTACTATTATAAACTTTTATTACCTTTTAATTTTTAGAGGATTATACATTCGTGCATACGTTTATGAACTGGTACGACGCAAAAGCTGATTGCGAATCCAGGAATTTAAAACTTGCAGAGATCCGCACACAGGCAGACCAAGATGAATTATTAGCAGCAACGATGGGATACTCAAGTATGATATACCTTATACATGTTTCCATAATGTACCGATAATTCATAATTGATAACTGATTTGTTTGTATATGATTATGTGCAAATAGGTCGTTATTGGTTTGGTACTATCGACCCTCAAGGCGACAACACTTTTGAATATGCAACTGGTGAAAGCTTGACTTATTCTCGTTTTAGTCCAGGTTATCCAACGGTCTTTAACGATATCTCGTGCGCTGCGTAAGTATATTCATTTTAAATCGTCATGAAAGACACGTTGCATGAAATGTAAACTAGTGTTACAAAACAATTAACTGACATAAAATGTGACATAAAAACTGACATGATAGTGAATACTTTTATAAAAAAAACTACTCACCCGTCGTTTTCATTTCAATAACAACATTCCCATTTTCAAAATGTTCTCATGTATTCTGATACTAATTGTTGGACCAAGGTTTGGGAATGGTTTTCATAGTAACCTAACTTTAAGAGTGGTTACAAAATACCTTACACATGATTTATATATATCCAAAGTATCAGTATTTCTCAAATAATGTGTCATGTACCAGTGAGGAGGTAGCTGTTGATAGTGGCATGTATTACTTCACTCACATTTGGGGTCCAATAGTGTTGTCTTAGGACGGCCTATTTATCATATAACTAAAGATTACAAAACACTGTTAGTGTACAATAGAAAAAAATACTTAAGACAAATGCTGATTGAAACCAACTTGTTGCAATATAAAAAAAAACTCATCACTAGTACAGCATACCATTTATAATTGTGAAATAAAACACGTGTCTGGAAATATTTACATTGGTAAACTGACAACCGCTAAATCCTTATAGAATCGATGGTTACTATGGTTATTGGATAAATGCTAATTGCGATAATATGTATCCTTTCCTATGTGAGCCTGGTGAGTTAATATGTTAATTGCTTCGTTATTTATTATTCTAATCTTGTACTTGTCCTTTGTGTTTTATAAACAGTAATGTTTAAATAATATTTTTACGTAATTAATACAAAATGAACTGCTTGTGTTTCGACAGTATTTAATGCATTATATTAGATTCAGCAATGTGAGCTACATTGCATGTGTTTTTATTGCAGACATAGATTCTCCAGGTGTATCGGGCGATCCGCATATGACAACATTCGACGGTCGTCCATTTAGTTTTCAAGGCATATGCTGGCATACTCTGTTTAAAGACTGCTCGACAAATCCTGCCTTTGAAGTCACAGCTGAGTTTGAGCCTAGGGAGGACAGTACGTTGGAACATGTCAGAACGCGGACTGTTTCTGTTAATGTAACTGTTGGAGGTGACTTTGCTATCATTAATGGACTGGATGTTGTTACAGTAAGTGATTTGTTCAAAGAATATTTTGTTGTTGCAACTTTACAAGAAAATTTTAATTTTGATTTCAGGATGTTCTTGAACACGATCTCTTCCACGAAATACTGGTCATATAAAGAGGTGCAACTTCAATTTCTGAAAGACTATGAAATGTACTTCTTGAAATATAATCTCTATTTTCACTTCAGGGAAGAACTGATGGACACATTACTGCAGCAAGACCAATACACGTTCATGAAGACGATAAAAAAATCACCCTGAGCTTCACTTCTAAGGATACCACATTCACTTTGCATTGGACATTGAAGAAGCACAGCTTAAGAGTATCTATCTCTGGATCTGACTACCGTGGTCATCTCTGTGGTCTACTGGGTGATGATGATGGTGACACTCGTAATGACTTCCTAACACCTGATGGTGCTGTAGTCAACGATGCTACTGTGTTTGGAGAAAGCTGGAAAGTAGAATGGAAGAAGTAAGTTAATTAACTAATTATAAACCAAAAAAACAAAAAAACACCGAGCTAAAAAACGTCTTGTCGAAACCTAGTTCAACTGCAGTCTAACTATGTGTTTTGACACACATGTGACCAATTTATCTGTGTACACTTCGAACAATTATACGACTACTTGATATTCTAAAATATTACATAATACACATAATTACGCTTAGTGATTAAAACTCAAGACTTTTGTTTATTTTTTTTCAGATGTGACTGACACTATCGTCGTATACCAGAAGCTGACATGGCAAGAAATGTACAACATTTGATGTCAAAGTAACATGGCCATGTCATCATATAATACATTGCATTTAATTTATTCGGGTTCCTTTTTACAGTTTGCGTTAGGCAAATTCAACAAGAGTTGAAATGCTATTGCTCGAAGGAGAATTGGTATTAAAATATTAAACGTTGGTAATTAAAGGTGCTGTTATGGGTACAACTGTGTTTTGTGTATTTTATTTATTTGTGCAGTTTAGTTATGCAGCACTATGGTATATATCTTTAAATTTTAACAAACAAATATATTTTTGAAAGCATGCTTAAATTGTAAAATTGCTTATCAATTATCACTGTCTCAGTGCGTTATATTGACGCATGTGAAATGTTTATTGGGAGCAAGCAAGCCGTGAGACTCGCTTATCATCGCGTCCACCGTGCCCTGACCCATATAACCATGGTATTTATACTGTGGAATGTAATGACGGGATCGATTAAAACGCGACGAGAAAGTGTGGGTCATCGGATATAATTCCAAACTTTTGTTCAAAGTCTGTAAATTGCACTAGCACGAAACAATTTACAGACTATGACCACAAGTGTAGTGTTATATTCATAAAGTATGTTAGACATTTGTGCTAAATCTGTA